CTCAAACTCAGAAATCCACCTGCCTCTGCCTCCCAAGTGCTGGGATTAAAGGCGTGGGCCACCACCGCCCGGCCTAAGATGCTATTCTTAATAAATTTTCTTAGCATTAAACTTCAAAACCTTAGCTTTCCTGTCTTCTTTACTTCTCACCTCCCCATCCTCCCTTCTTCTCAAAAACCTGCCACTTAAGAATGACATGCTGAGGGCTGGAGAGATGGCTCAGTGGTTAAGAGCACTGACTGCACTTCCAGAGGTCCTGAGTTCAAATCCCAGCAACCACATGGTGGCTCACAACCATCTGTAATGAGATCTGATGCCCTCTTCTGGTGTGTCTGAAGACAGCTACAGTGTATTCATATATAATAAATAAATAAATCTTAAAAAAAAAAAAAACAATAAAAAAAAAAGAATGACATGCTGAGCCAAATCACTCATATAGAATTTAAACACATAGACTTGTCAGGATTCATAACAGTTAGTCTTTAGTGGCATAATGAACAGTAAATTTCACTAGTCATGATGCCTAGCACAAGCTGGCTTAGAACTCATTACATAGTAGAGACTGACCTCATATTTGTGCCAACATGGTCAGCTAAAACAACAAAAACAAAAAAAATCTCTGTATGCATGCGTGTTTGTGTTTTGAGACAGGGTCTTACTACATAGCTCTGATTGACCAGACCAGATATTTGTCATAAAGGAGATGGGGACTCTGGGTTATACATTGATACCATGCTCAATAAAACTCCCTGGGTCAAAAGAAGAACGATGTTCTATTAGTAATATCACTATATGATTGTCTTCAAACTCAGGTCTACCTAACTCTGCCTCAGAAGTATTAAGATTAGAGGCATACACCATCACATGGGGGAAATGACATTTCACATTCAAGCCATAACAATTAGCCAAAAAACTACCCACAAAGAAATGTTTGGGCTCAGATGGCTACATACAGATATAAAAGCCCCCTCAAGAAATATTAATGCAAGTAAGTAAAATCCAAGTGCATATTAAAATTCTATGTCATGACTCTAATTCAAGGATAGCTCAACATTCCAAACTAATGCAGAATCAATAAAAGATTCAAAAAGGATAAAAATTGGATGATCTCAATAGATATAGTAAAAGCATATTAAAAATATCCCAACTGCCTTTCCAACTTGGGCCCAAGAGAATGGCATGGGGAAATAGAAAATTTCCCGGTGATAGGAAAAAGGTCACTCTGCCATCAACTGAAGTAGTGATCTAAGGGTAATATAGCGTTGATATTCATTCATAGGAAGGAGCTTTAAGAAGTATTCCTCCCTCTAAGCACTCCAAGTATTTGCCAGAAAGGAGATGGGGACTTGGAGTGTGCACATTGCTACCAGGCTCAATAAAACTCCCTGGGTGAAAAGAATAAAGATGTTCATTGGTAATATCACTGTATGACTGTCCTATGTAAAGAGGACAAGGATTCAAAAACGCTGGTACTTACACCCCTGTTGTTACTACAATCAAAAATCTACGTGAGAACTGCTGAGGGTTACAAAACTGCAAAAATAAAATACTCACAACCCCTGCCATATTTAATGCTTTAAGAGTGACTTTTTCCTGTAAGAGAAAAAGAATACAGAATACCAAGTCTTGCCTGCACACAGGGGACAGCTACTTACAAAAATAGTGATCCCAGTCAAAGGTACATATGCCTTTTCATGGGGAACTAGGGGAAATTTAGCTAGGGTTAGGAAATCTAAAACTTTATTTGTGAGTGCTGAGGATATTACATGGGTCGGTTTCTTGAGTGGCTTATGTCCAGGTGGTCAGTGGGCTGCATTCCTGTTTCATAAACATTTAACCACAGGATGAAATACTCAAACCATTTATTTAAGGCAGCCCAGCACAGATGGCCCATCCTAAAAATATTTCTCCATCCTTGTGGGTATCTCCAGGGTGTTCTTTGGATGGGGAATCTTATGGCCTTGTTTCTGGAATTTATGGCCTAGTTCCTGGGACTGATGACTTGGGGGCCGGGAGGGGCATGTTATGGTCATTTTGAAGTCAGACCTAAAATGGAGTGTATATTGTTGTGGTGGTGGCTATTCCTGGTTGTCAACTTGACTATATCTGGAATGACTAGAATCCAGAATTGGAGGACACACCTGTGATCCAGATCTTGAGGCTGAAAGACACAGATTTCTGACCTAGATCTTGACATGGAGATCTTGAGGTATAGTGGCCATGAAAAGCGTAGGCCCAGGCAAGGTAGTACATATCTTTAATTCCTGGAAACTGAGGCAAGCAGATCTCAGAGCTCAAGGTCAGCCTGGGACAAAGCAAGTCCTAAATCCAGGCACAGTGTTACTTACCTTTATTCTGGGCCACATCTTCTGCTAGAGGCCCACATAAGAACATTCAACCGCTTGTACTTACTTGAAAGCACATCTGTTGGACCCTACTTCTACAGAAGACCAGCTGGCCTCGTGAGACTGAGCAACTATTAGATTCTTGGACTTCGCACCCACAGCTGCCCATTGTTGGGTTAGCTGAACTACAGACTGTAAGTCATCACAATAAATTCTCTTAATATATAGACATTCCATAAGTTTTGTAGCTCTAGAGAACCCTAATATAGTCCTCTCAATAACCACCTTTAATTCTAGCTCTAGAGGACATGATACCCTCTTCCAAACTCCAAGGGCACCTGCCCTAACATGCACATACTCTTCCTTCACTTTTTAAGCCTTACTAAATTACTAAAAACTGAAGCAACCAATCACACTGACCTAAGTGTATAAGCAGACTGCCTGCACCAATATACATTCTAAATAACTAGCAAAGAAAACTTGTTCAAAAAAAGTGATTTTAGTCATTGTTCCTTTTTTTTTTAATCATTTCCTTTAAAGCAGCCTTTGTTTTATTTCTAATTGAACTGAGTCTCCCAATTTATACATTTTAGTTTGTATGAAAATAAAAACCCCAGCCTCCAAGACTGGCTAAGAACCCAAGAAAGAGAATAAATAGTACAGCTCAAAGACAGCTGCTTGTTGGTAATTCTAATCTCACTTGAGGCCACAGGGCCAGCTCTAACTACATCCTTCTTTTACTAGTTAATTTAGCATACCAAGAATTTTAAGCACTGAATACCTGCCACCAAAAACAAAACAACAACAACAAAACAAAAACAAAAACAAAAAACAGAATTCAGGGTCTTAAGGTTTTTTTCATTTGCACTTAGTTTGCATTCCTATGGCCTGGGTTGGTGCAACCTCTTGCTTTACCTCTACCTGAATGGCTCCTACTTGTGTTTTGCATGGATTAGTTTTCAGAAGAAATGGAAAGCAAACGCTATTAAACCAAAATTCTTGAAGTTCACCTTTATTATAAAAAAAAGTTTAACAAGATTGCAATTCCCTAAAAACAGCCAAATCCCTAAAATCAAAGCACTGATAACGTACAAAATATCACAACTAATCAAACAGGTAAAAGGAAAAAGCAAGCAAGCAAACAAACCAACAAAAAAGCCTAGGGCAAGATTACTGTAGCCAAGAAATCCACTGAGTGGTTTAGACCACAGACAACAGAGGAAGGTTTGGCAAATCTAATCCCAGCAATCAGGAGGAAAAGCAGAAGAATCAGTAGAAAGTCATCCTTGTCAGTTTGCAAGTTCAAATCCAGCCTAGCTTTAAAATGCCTAAAGCCATAAAATTTTTAATCTAAACTCTATCAAGCAATTACTATGTGCCAGGAGCTATTTTAAGAGTGTTCTAAGAGGTTGGTTGACTGGTTGTTTTTATTTGGGAATAGTTTTTTCAGACAGGGTCTCAATATGTAGATTAGGCTGGCCTGGAACTTGCAGACTTTCCTGCCTCTGCTTCCCCCTTGTAACTTACAGTTCCATAATGCAGGTACTGCTGTTATCCCATTTTATAGATGAGGAAGCTGAGCAGGAAAGTCAAATTCTTCTGAGATTTTACAGTGAATGGTAGAGCCAAGTTGGAGGGGTCAAGCAAGACCTGAACCCAAGCAACATAACTGTGGGAATTATAGCCCCAGTTAGAAGAGGCTTTCTTTTTTTTTTTTTTGGTTTTTCAAGACAGGGTTTCTCTGTGTAGCCCTGGCTGTCCTGGAACTCACTCTGTAGACCAGGCTGGCCTCGAACTCAGAAATCCACCTGCCTCTGCCTCCCAAGTGCTGGGATTAACGGCGTACGCCACCACCGCCTGGCTAGAAGAGGCTTTCTAACACACTTTATGGTCATGGACTGGAACCCTAGAGGTCACTAAAGACATGACTCAATAGTTAAGAGTACTTGTGGCCCTAAAAGAGGACCTAGAATGGGGGTCCCAGCACTAACAAGTGGCTATTAACTGCCTGAAACTCCAGTTCTAGAGGATCCAGGCCTTCTGGACTCCACACAGCAAGCACACAAACTACACTTACATGTGGGCAAAACACGTACATATGCCCATAAAATAAAGCAACTTAAAAATAAATAAGAAACAGTCCCTGGTACCACATTTCCACCAAAAATAGGAGCTAGCCTCTGTCTAAGTAATTTGAATTCATCACCTATCATAATCTTTCCTAGGGTAGCAATCTGGCCTAGAGTTCCATCTCTAACACTGCCAAAATGAAAAAAACAAAACAAAACAAAAATCATCTCTCCCATCTCATTAATGAAAAAAATAAACTGTTAAGTACCATACCAACAACACTATTTCTTAAACTTTGCCATCAAATCCACTGTGTCCCATTGGTTCTGTGAAGGTTTTGTTTGGTGAGTTTCTGAGTCACTATGCAGTCCCAGCCAGCCTGGAATTTGGTATGTAGACAAGGCTAGCCTTAAACTCTGCCTGCCTTAGCCTCCCAAATGCAGAAATTAAAGGCAAGCACATGCCAGGCCAAGTTCTGTAGGTTTAAACAGTGATATTCTTTATTCCAAAATAAGTTACTCCGTAGTATAATGTAAACAGTCATCCAGCAGAACCAATATAGGCTTTTTAAAAAGGCAGACTTACCTGTAAATACAATTTTACCTTTTAGTCTCTTCCACAAGGAGTATATTCACGCCTCTAATCCTAAGAAAAGCAAGAAACATTTTTAAGAGTTAAGGTCTAATCTATTTCGCTTAAAGTGGTAATGAGAGCATACTAAGTTTACTGAATTGGTATCAGGTATGCTAAAAACAAAACTACTGAACTAGGCTACTCTCAAAATATTCCCTGCCACTAGAATTCAAGCGGGCTTCTCCAAGTTCACTATTATCCTGTAATACCAAAGCTAAAATACTTCTTTAGTAATTTTAGTGGACTGATAAAGGAGAACCTGATTGGGGCTGAGTGGAGCAGGAACTAAGACTTTAGCAAACCTGCATGGTAACAAGAAACAAACTTAAGATTCCCCTTAACCTTAGCACATTCATTAGACAATTTAAATCCCCACACAAGTTCTGTAGTCGGCCTACTGAAATGCACACCAGCTCACCCACTTTACCTGTTTTTCCATTTTTCTAGGAAGGCATTCTTAAGTACCACAAATGCAAACAGCTTCCGAGATGCTGCGGGCCGCGGCGCTCATCCAGGCCCGGGCGCTCAAGGGCGGAGCGCAAAGCAATTTCTCTGGGTCGCAAGGGTCAGGGCGCGGAAGACGGACACAGAAAGAAACCGAAAAGCAAAACAAAGCTTTGCTTCTTCTTCCGAAACCGGAAGGAACGCGAAGCTGCAACAAGCCCGCCTGCTACCTCAGGCCACCAACCGCAGACCGCGCCCGGCCGGCGCGCAGCGACCCCGCGGTGCAGTGAGGACCCGGGGTGGCCGAAACCTAGCCCGGAGCCCAGGGCGCAGAACAAAAGCCTGATCCGAAGCAGACCTGCCTGGCGGGTGCTAAGACACTATAGCACCAAACGAGGCCTCCGCCGAGAGCAGAGCGCGCAGAGGTTTGGTGGCGGCCTTCGTCGGGGCGGGTCTAGCAGGCTCCGCGCTCCGCCCCCGTGCGCTTGCGCCAGGGCCATGGTCCTAGTGCCGGGCAAGTATGCATTCTGCAGTCTGAGGGGAAAAGAAAGCTTAGCCCTGCACCTGGAATTTATATGAGAATCACCCAAGGGCTTCTGGAATGAAACTCCATGTTGGGGTTCAGGAATCGCCACACAAACTGAAAGGAGTGAATTAGCGGAATTGGGCCCCTGCGTGCAGGAATTTGTTCAATAAATGCTCTTTGCTTTTGCATACTATTTGAGTCTAAGGGTATCATACTTCAACGATTCATGTACCCTAACAAAACTATATGAACACTGGTCTCAGTTAAGCAAGAATAGCTTACTGCACACATACCCTTATTGATGAATGTTAAGGACTGCAAAAAAGAACTCAGAAACATAATTGTAGTCCTCATCTGCTCTCAGGGTAGGTTTTTTATGGGGAAAAAAAAAACAGGTTCAAAAGTTTAAAGGGCAAGGAGGAAAGCAGTAGGCTTACTAAGAAAAGTATCAGCTAACCTTTAAGATGACTGGTCCTGAGTAAGGTGGGGGGGTGTACATGGGTGTTGAACAGGGTAATTTCATTGAGATAACAGAGCATGAGTATTACAATCATAACTTTTGTCTTATTAGTATCATTCTTCAGTGTTACCCACAAAAACCACGGTGAGCTCATACGTAGGTACAGGAAGGGCTGCCCAGTGATCAGCTCTGACTCAAGACATTTTAGACATAACAGTTCATATTGACCTTTAATTTGATGGGTCCTACGTAAAGCTTTGTGGAATTTCTAAAGATTAGCAAATCTCATACAGGACATCACAGGATATATGTTCAGCATTACCGTCCTCTGAGTCGTTATTTTCCTGTGTTAATGACTAGCAGGCATATTATAGCAACAATATGAGATAGCTGGTATGCATGGAACAAAGTGGCTACAGCTAGTGGAGGTAGGCTTAAACAAAGATAAGCTGTTGATGACATCATCAATGATCTGCAAATGGAATGGCAACATCTTCTACAAAGTACATGAAAGAAAACACACTCTCTGCTGGTTTTAGTGCCATACACCTTTAATGCCAGAATCTGGGAAGGGGAAGTAGACAGATCCGTGAGTGAATGAGTCCATCCTGACCTACATAGGGTTATACAGAGAGAACCTATATCAACCAAAGAAACAAAAAATAAAAAAAAATAGAAAATGCTGAAGGGTTCTGACAGGCCCAAACATGGCATGGGTCCTGCTCCTTCCCCTTTCTCTTCTGCTAAACCACTAGAAGTCCCGCTAGACTCCTTATTTGACTACTTCCTCGTGTCTGACTTATTCCTGAGGCTGACCACCAAGGTCCAGCTACCAAAATCAAAAAGCTGGGGCTTTCGAGCCTTGGTGTTACATAATCATGTAAAGGGGTTAAGGAATGTTATCCTTCAAATTGATAACATTTGCTCAGACTGCAAGGAGAGACCATACTTGTGGAAAAGGACCTCTTTGACCTGGAAAGGAATAACTTGTCCCATTATCAGTGACCAGTGCATTCTTTCCTGTTGATATCAGCTAAGTACAGCTGTTATGTCTCTTTCTGATGCTGGGAATACTTGGTTGTCTCTTTCCCACAGCTTAAACATGGGGAGGGGGTCTTATCACTTCAAGGACATTAATTTTCGGCGCCAAGACTTGCTGGGGGTTGGGGTGTGTGTTGGCTGCTTTTTGTCTCTTTAATTCTACAAGATTATTAGTTAGCCAAATGAATTAAACATGTATACCTCTTTTGGACCAGCTGCTGCAATACAATGTAGCCCACTAGTCAGAGATAGACCTGTAGGGTAAAAGATAGGGAAAGACCATCCTAACCCTGGCATGATCCCAAGCCCAATAAGTAAGCCAAAGAAAAACCACCTGCCCCAGGTTTGACCACAAGCTCAGAGACTTGGAAGTCCCCAATCTCCTGTGACTGCTCCTTAACGGCCAAACAATGTTTCTATTTTAAGATACTTTCTGTGCATGCTCATAAAAAAAAACGTGTAAAAGCCTTCCACTCAGTCGACCTTCTGCTGTTTCTCTTCCTGTTCAGAAGCAGCGACAATGCTGTTTTTCTCCCCCAGTAAATCTGTTGTGTAAGGTTTGTTCCATGGGGTGAATTTGTGGTATTCATTGCCTTTGGACTGCCAAGATGCCCGTGTTCCAGAGAAGCCCATACATTGGTGTCATAGGCTCTCCCGGTGCCTGTGCTCCCTTCAGGGTCTGAGCCACATTGGGACCCTACTCTTCATCTTCAGACCACACGCAAGACTCACCTTCTGGTTCACCTATCGCTCTGCACCTCATCCACCAGAGGTCATTCGGTAAGTTTCCCTAAGTCAGAGGAAGTGACCATTGAGTGTCTGGCACTCCTCTGGAAGTGAGGGATACCCTCAGCAAGGTCTTTATGGCTACCACTGGCTCTCTTCACCAACACTCCCCCAACACCACACACACATACGTACACAACCTCAGAGATACAATTCTAAAGCTTCCTTAGACCTGACTGGATTATTGTGAACCTCTCATGCCCCAACCCTTCTGCCTCCTCTTCAAGAGCTGCCAGTAATCCCATAGCGTCTCTGTGCCTTCGTTGTTTTCGTGAGACTATGAGACCCTGCTCCCAGTTACTTTCTCATGGATGAGACCTAGTTCCTGAGTTCAGTTTTTCATTGCCTTTTGGAGAGCCTTCGGGCCGCATCAAAAGCTCTGGTACCAGGTGCTGCGTCCCCTTAGGCTCTTAGACCTGACCCTGTTGAGTGCTGTGATAGCCCACTAAATGGCTTGGTCCTCCCTGAGGACACCATCATCTACAGCCACTTGGACACCACCCCCAGCCATGGGAATTGTATCATCCATACCCACTCACTGGCCCTTGAGATGCCTCTTTAAAAACCTCCAGCCTCTCTGCCTGGCACTCAACTAAAGGGTCCCAAAATTATTTACTTTTGCAATCATTTTTGGCCTCAACCCTCAGCTCCTTCTCTCCCTCCAGTCACTCTTCCCTCTCCAGGGTCAGGCCACCCTAATCATCGCTCTCTGGCACCCACTTTTAGCCCACTGACAGGCTTCAGTCCTTCTGCTACTTGCTCCTGCTCCACCAAGGGATCCCCTCAGAACTCCCTCTACCTGACCTAACCCAGCTCCAGTTCTCCCTTTGCAGGAGGTTGCTGGGGCACTTTCTTACTGATCTCTCTCTCTCTCTCTCTCTCTCTCTCTCTCTCTCTCTCTCCCTCTCCCTCTCCCTCTCCCTCTCCCTCTCCCTCCCTCAAGTAGAAAAAGGAGGTTGGGATCTTACATTGCTAATCCAACCTCTTTAATTAAAGAGTTCCAATATATCATCTACTCTTACAACCTTATTTTCCATGAGATTTAAACGATTCTCACCAACAACTTTCTCCTTGAGGAACACAGGCTAGTCTGATACCAACCTAGGGCATATGCAAATGAAATTCATCAAACTAATGCTGTTCACTCAATCAGGGCTGAGGCAGTCCCCTGTAATATATAGTTTTTACTACCCCACTTTAAGCTCCAGGTGGACCTTGCTACCAACCCTGCCCTGGTTCCCTCGGATCCACAGATGAAAGACACACACAGTAGCTTATTTTTTTGTATGCTTTAGCTCAATGGCTGGTTTCTTCTAAGCCTTCCTTGGCTATCATGCCCTTCTTTTAACTCCCAGCTTAACACCCTAAATCTGCCCTCAGTTTTAGTTATGTTCCTAATCTCCTGCCTACTAACCCAGGCCCAGTTGTGGAATCTGCCAGTGGCCACTCCACCCTAGATCTCACATAGCTGGTGGCATTTTTTTCCTCCAAAGCATGGCAAATATTTTTTATTCTCCCCTCCATCTGCTAGCCTGTCCGTGGTCCCGCCTATTCCACCCAGCTCATTGGCTTTCTTTTGATCTTTATTGATCTTTATTGACCAATCAAGAACCAATTGGGGAACAGAACCTTCAGTGTTCACATGCAGATTCATGATCAAGGCATCAGAACCACTCCAGAAGTCCCCAACTGGGACCTTGGAAGAACCTACAATACTCTGGGAAGTAATATGGGTATGCTAGTTGCCACTTGGTTGGTCTCTCTAAAGCTATGATTAAAGCAGTAAATTATGAAAAATACAAGAAGTCCTCCAAGACAAATCATAAAAACCGTAGACTCCCTTATAGATGCCCTTTTCTCTCTCTCCCTCTCCCTCTCCCTCTCCCTCTCCCTCTCCCTCTCGCTCTCTCTCTCTCTCTCTCTCTCTCTCTCTCTCTCTCTCTTTCTCTCTCTCCCCCTCTCTCTCTTTTTTTAGGTTTTTCCGAGACTGGGTTTCTCTGTGTAGTCCTGGCTGTCCTGGAACTCACACTGTAGACCAGGCTGGCCTCAAACTCAGAAATCCACCTGCCTCTGCCTCCCAAGTGCTGGGATTAAAGGCGTGCGCCACCACCGCCCGGCTAAATGCCCTTTTCTAATATATGGTTAAGGCCTGAGTAACTGCTGCTATCTGATATCACTGTAGCCATTTTTTCTTATGCCTACAGCCAGCCATATTATGTTGTTATGACGAAATTGTCTTATGTACAGTTACTAGGAAACTTTCTCATGCCTGAATTGATTGTACATTCTGTTATATTCTATGCTTTGGTGATCTTGGAAACTCCCCCAAATCCTTGCCTTACTTTAGAACCAATCACAGTAAAGTTTAAGTCCTTAAGACCTCCCGTGGAAACTGACATCCTGTTTGGTAAGTTGAGACATGAATGCTAGGCAAGTTAC